CCGCCGCAGACGAGGCCGGCGAGTGCTCTCCCGCCTGGGTGGCCTGGAGCTGGTGGTGGTCGTGCGCGTGGTGGTGCACCGGGTGGTGGTTCTGGAGGCGGGCCCTGTCAGTACCAGATCCAGACCGGTCCTCGCCGCGGCTTCGTTTGCGGTAAGATCGGTCATTCCACTCCTCGCTGTTTTCGTCGTCTGGACGACCTGTTCCGCCAGTGCTTTGGCCCGGCGCCCGACCTCCCGGACTGGCACAGCCTGCTTAGGCGTAGCATTCGGATTTTTGACTTGGACATGGATGCCATTGTAGCAGCCTTGCATGTGATGTATGCCGATGACTCTAGTGTGCTTCCCTCTTATTACCCCGTGTTGCCTAGTGTAGCTGTGCCTAGCGTAGACTCCCCTGCTGCGTCAGGCGTAGGATCTCCTGCTTTGCTTAGCCTCGGTGCTTCCACCGCTTCACTGTCGCCCCGCGCGACTGCTGCGCTTTCCTTCACCTTGGACTCTGGCGCCTCCCGGTGTTTCTTCCGCGACTCCACGACGCTGACGCCGCTGCCTGTTCCCGCTGCAGTTACTCTTGCTGACCCCTCCGGTGGTCCCGTCGTTGCCCGCAGTTCCACCTCCCTTCCCTGTCCGGCGGTTCCTTCAGGTTCGCTCACCGGTCTGCATATCCCCTCGTTCTCCAGGAACCTAGTTGGTGTCGGCTGCCTCCAGGACCTTGGCGTCACCACTACGTTCCCTGGTCACGAGCGGTATGCTGTCTGTACCGAGGCCGCCACTGGTGCCCCCTTACCACTTTCCCCCGGGACCCGGTGTCCGGCCTGTTCACACTTGACACCGCGACGTCCCCGGCTGGGTCTTCCCCCCAGGTAGCTGCGTCCACCCAGGTTGCTGCTGCGTGCTCCTGTCGGTCCCTCACTCATCCGACTCTCCTTTGGCACCACCGCCTTGGTCACCCTGCACTCCCGCGTCTGCGTCACATGTCCCAGCACGGTCTCGTCCTTGGTCTCCCCGGTTCGTTCCCTGAGTTTCCCTCATCCCCCGCCCCACCGTGCACGCCTTGTGTCGAGGGCCGGCTCCGCCGTGCCCCTCACTCCTCCTCTTTTCCCCCTACCACCGCACCTCTGCAGACTCTGCACATGGACATCTGGGGCCCCGCCCCGGTCCATGGGCCGCGTCGCGAGCGCTTCTTCCTAGTGCTTGTCGACGACTTCACACGTTACACCACCGTCTTTCCCCTGGAGCGGAAGGCCGACGTGCCTGACGTTCTCATCCCCTGGCTTGTCTCTGCTCGTCTCCACCGCGGTCTCCCTGCCTTGCGCCTCCACTCCGACCGGGGTGGCGAGTTCGCCTCAGGTGTCCTTGGTCGCTTCTGTCGTGCGGAGGGCATCACCCAGACGTTTACCCTGCCGGACTCCCCGCAGCAGAATGGGGTCGCTGAGCGACGCATCGGTTTGGTCATGGAGGTGGCTCGCACCTCCATGATCCACGCCGGTGCACCCCATTTTCTGTGGCCGTTCGCCGTGCGCTACGCCGCTCACCAGCTTAACCTGTGGCCGCACCCCCAGCGGCCGCAGGTTTCGCCGACCCTTCTGTGGACCGGGTCCCTAGTGACGCGTCTGCGTTCCACGTCTGGGGCTGCCTTGCTCACGTTCGTGCCTCTGGCACGGACAAGCTCACTGCCCGCACCCTCCCCTGCGTCTTCCTCGGTTTCCCCCTTGACGCGTCCGACTGGCACTTCTACCACCCGCCGTCTCACCGTTTCTTTCACTCTCGCGACGTCACCTTTGACGAGTCCGTCTCCTTCTACCGCCGCTTTCCCCACCGTGGTCCCCCGGTTACTCCCCCCCTGTTCCTGGTTCCTCCCTCCCTGGTGGCCCCTGCCCCTCCCCCCCCCCCGCCCCCCCGTCCGGCCCCTCTGGTGTGTCTCACGTCACCCCCCTCCCGTCGGTCGTTCCGGTCGACGAGTCTTCTGACTCTGGTAGTCCTTTGGCGCAGTCCTCGCCGTCTGTCCCTCCCCCGGTGTCTCCTCCTCCACCGCCTCCGCAGCCGCCGTCGCCGCAGCTGCTGCAGCCGTCGTCTCCGCCGCCGCCGCCGTCGAGGCCGTCGCTGCAGCCGCCGCCGCCGCCGCCGTCGTCGCTGCCGCTGTTTGTGGACTCTGGGGGTGCTGGCGTTGAGGTGGGTACTAGTCCCGGGGCTCCTGTCGGGGCTTGTCCCGGCGGGCCTGGGGGTGGTACCGGTGCTGGCGGTGTTTCGGGCTCTGGGGGTGTCCCTTCTGGGGGTGCCGGTGTGGAGGGTTCGGGAGGTAGCCGTCGCGCAGCTTGTGGCCCTGGCGTTGGTGTTGTGTCGCCGCAGCAGCAGTCCCCGCCGGTGTCCGCCCTCCGTCTGCTCGGCCTTCCGTCCCCTGACCCTGCGCCTGTTCCTCTCCGGCCGTCTCCCCCTCTTCCCGTCTACGGCCCCGTGTTCCCTCCGCCGGACTCGTCCCCGGCTCGTTTTCCCCCTCGTTCCCCACCCGTGTCCCCTCCTCTGTCTCCTGACCCGACGCCGCCCTCTCACGTCTGGTCTCGCTGCCCCTCCCGTGCTCGTCCTGTCTCCCCCGTCCCGCGCACTCACCCTATGTTGCTCCGCTCCCACGCGTCTCGTCCTCCCCTCCTCCCGTCTCCTCCTCCGTCTTCTCTTGTCGTTGCGTCTCCTCCTCTGTCTGACTACTTTCGTGCCGCTCGTCCTCTTGTTCCTCGGGTCCTTGCCTCTCTCGTTACCGACCCGTCTGTTCCAGTGTCGAGTCTTGACGCCCTTGTCGCTGCGGTCGCTGACTTCGCCTCTACCCGCCGCCTTGACTACGCCTCCGCTCTGGTCTCTGACCCTGCCTCTCCTCTGTCTGTCGGGGGTGCTCCTGCCCTCGGCAGTGACGTCCTGGAGGACCGCCAGTTTGAGCTTGCTTTCCTGTCCGAGGCTGCTCCCCATCTCTGTTCCATGCTGCTAGTCCCTGAGGGTGACCCAGACGCTTTTGACATCCCGACCCCTCGTACTTACGCTGAGGCGGTTTCGGGACCTTGGGCCTCTCAGTGGATAGCTGCCATGGAGCAGGAGATGGCATCTTGGAGATCCACCGGCACCTTCGTCGACGCAGTTCCCCCACCTGGGGTGAACGTGGTCGATGGCCATTGGCTCTTCAAGGTGAAGCGCCCTCCTGGAGAGCCGCCTGTGTTCAAGGCGCGTTACGTGGCTAGAGGCTTCAGTCAGCGCGAGGGGGTGGACTTCTTTCAGACTTTCGCTCCTACCCCGAAGATGACTACTCTTCGGGTTCTGCTACACGTAGCGGCTCAGCGTGACTACGAGCTTCACTCCCTCGACTTCTCCACTGCCTTTCTTCAGGGCAGCCTTCACGAGCAGGTCTACCTGCGTCGTCCTCAGGGCTTTACTGGCACCTTCCCCCCTGGGACCCAGTGGCTTCTGCGGCGCCCAGTCTACGGCCTGCGCCAGGCGCCTCGTGAGTGGCACGACACGCTGCGTGCTACTCTTGCTGACCTGCAGTTCTTTCCGTCCTCTGCAGACCCCTCGCTCTTCGTTCGTGCTGGCTCGACTCCGTTCTACATCCTCGTCTACGTAGACGACCTGGTCTTTGCCACAGCTGACAGAGACGCACTGGCCTCCGTGAAGGCAGAGCTGCTGAAGAGACACACCTGCACTGACCTTGGAGAGCTGCGCCGTTACCTTGGCTTGCAGATCTCCAGGGACAGAGCCGCGCGCACCATCACCCTGACTCAGTCACACTTGGTGCGCCAGGTCCTTCAGAGGTTCGGCCTTCAGTTCTCCTCCGCACAGCCCACCCCTCTTCCTCTGGACCACAGACTCTCCGCTCCAGTTCCTGAGGAGTCGGTAGATCCCAGTGGTCCTTACGCTGAGCTAGTGGGTTGCCTCATGTACCTGATGACTTGCACTCGCCCAGATCTCGCATACCCTCTCAGCATCCTGGCTCGTTTTGTGGCCACAGGCAGACACCGACCTCAGCACTGGTCTGCTGCTAAGAGGGTTTTGCGTTATCTTGCAAGTACATCGGGCATGGGGTTAGTGCTAGGCGGACGCAGGCCAGTGGTCCTTACTGGACACACAGACGCTTCTTGGGCAGACGACGCCGAGACGCTCAGGTCTTCCCAGGGCTACTGCTTTAGCCTTGGCTCAGGTGCTGTCTCGTGGAGAGCTACCCGCTCCTCGTCTGTTGCCCAGTCCAGCTGTGAGGCTGAGATCTACGCCGGTGCCATGGCGGCACAGGAGCTCCGCTGGCTGACCTTCTTGCTCACTGACTTAGGTGAGCGGCCTAGCTCTGCCCCGGTCCTGTACGCTGACAACAGGGCCATGATTCTCCTGTGTCAGGAGCCTCGACTCGAGGGCAGAGCGAAGCACATCCAGCTGCGGTACTTCCTCCTGCGCGAGCTACAGCAGCGTCGCCAGGCTCGCGTAGTACACTTGGCCTCCGGTGCCAACACAGCTGATATCTTTACGAAGGCGCTTGCGCCTAAAGATCATCAGCGGCACTGTTTACAGCTTGGTCTGGTTCCTGTAGTCTCTCACTTACTCGGGCTTTGACTTTGTACTGTCGTATATATATATATATATGTATACACTCAGACTGGACTTGTGTCCTCTCACAGTGGTTGGACTAGTAGTGCCGCCCTGTACTCGTTCTTGCCTTGTCTGTACTCCTTCTGACTGGTCTTTTAGACCCTTGTCTCAGAGGCTGGACTAGTAGTGCCACCCTGAGCTGCTTGTCTAGAACATTCCCCTATGCAGTCCAGGGGGTGTGTCAAACATGTGTAGTTATCATGTTTGTATAGACTGTATAGGGTCACCTTCTAGAGAGTACAACATTTAGGTATATGCTTGTGTACTCTCTCTCTCTCTTATTATTAATTCTAGGTTTGATAATATGCCCTTAGTACTGAATTCTTGCTGGCATAGGTTGTGCGGGCTGAGGTGCACGCGCAGAGGTGTTCTAGAACCGCGATGTTGGATGCAGAGGCTAAATAAGCATGCACCAATCAATACACCTGACTTTGCCTGAGAGAGCCAGGGGCCAGGGCTGAAAGGAATTACCATACAAAAAAATATCAAACGTACTGTAGCACAGTTGAATTATCGAGCTACAAGCAGCTAGGAGGAGGTACCGGTGAAGGAAGCTCAATATCAGACTGTTACCCAGAAAGCCAGAAAATTGCTGCGAGGGGCTGCTGGTAGCAGCAGCTGCAATGGAGAGCAATAAACAGCAGAGCAGAGCAGAGGTGGCCACACAAATAGTGGAGCAGCCTGCATTTTAGGCGCCTCAGCAGCAAATGGACAGCAAAGAGCAGAGAGGCAGAGAGGGCAGAGAGGGCAGAGAGCAGAGCAGGGAGCAGCAGAGAGCCGAGCCAGCCACATCAAGAACGACAACAAGGCACCGGGAGCGTCGCTGACAGCAAGGCAGCATGGTCGCGGCGAATGGGTAAGCGGGATAAACAGATTGAAGGTTGGAGGTTGGGGTTGGGGGTATCGTCGGGTGAATTGGTGGGGGAGGGTGTTGCGGAGGGGGGTGAGGGGAAGGGAGGGCGGATGGAAAAGGGAAGATCCCTTCTCTCCCCCACACCCCCCCCCCTTCCTGGTCTGTATCTTCCGCTTCTTCTGAGTTCGCTTAGTCTCGGGGTTTTGGTTCTGCTGCCCGGACTGCCCGAGCTGCCGGAGGCTGCCAGAGCTGCCAGATCGAAGCAAGCACCCTGAATGCCAAGCGCAGGGCGAAACCGAGCCAGGCTCCCGCCAGCCTGGTTCCGAACCAAATCTGTATCCAAACCGGCCCCTTCCGAACCTGCAAACCCGGTCAGGGAGAAACCACCCCTTCCCAGGAAGGAATATCCCAAACCAGCCTCCCATACCAGCCTCCCAAACCAGCCACCCAAACCAGCCACCCAAACCAGCCTCTCAAACCAGCCACCCAAACCAGCCTCCCAAATCAGCCTCCCACCCAAGCCTCCCATTCCAGCCTCCCAACCCCGCCTCCCCCGTTCGAGCCGTGCGCAACTCAATCGAGGAAATACTGCGTCGAGTCGCCGTCCGTCATGATGGCTTGGCACGTCAGCTCGAAGACTACTAAGTTACACTTAATCGAAGATGTATCGCGTCAGATCGTCGTCCGTCATGTTTTCGCCCGTCACCTTGCAGAATAACGAGTTGAACCTAATCGAAGATGTATCGCGTCAGATCGTCGTCCGTCATGTATTTCGGCAGCAGATCGAGATCCACCTCGCGCGGCCCGTTCAGCTTTTTCATTGGCTCTTCGGTAGGCGCGATCGTCAGCGCGCCGCGTTCCGCCAGTTTCGCAACCTTGGGCGGAATCACCGTCGGAACGATGCGCGGAGCGCCGAAGTACCCGCTTGCGCCGTATCCGCTCGCGCCGGGTGGAAGGGGAGCGGAGGGTTCCACGCGCGCGGGGGAGTCGGAGGCGGAAGACGTCTCCGGAGCGGCGGCTTTCGCGGGGAACTCCCAGCCGGCGGCGTCGGAGAATTTCAGGCCCCAGATGACGTATTCCGTCTCCGTTCCGTCATCGTCTAAACTTGACGAAATAGTTGTAATGTCGATGAACTGTAGCACGGCCTTGGAGAACTCCTTATCAGCCACAAATTCCTCGACCTCTGCGGAAAGTTGAACCAAAAAAAGGGGGGGAGAAAGGGGGAAAAGAACTTGACGCGGATGGGACACACGGGGAATACACAAGTAAATGGAGGGGGAACAACGGGAATAGCCAGGTAAGAAACAGCGAGCGAGGATAACGTTTTCTACGCATGCGATGAGATACCTAAGATATACTCCTATACTAACCTTGCATGTTTAAGCAGATCGCGTTGATCGGCGCGATTGGTAACTCAGCGACAGATGACGCGAGTTCGCCAGAGTTCGCCGCAGACGAGCCCCCCGACCCACCACCTCCCAGCTGGTGGAACTTGTTGGTAACCTTCGCGCCGAACTCGTTCGCGAAAGTTCGCGGAGGAGTCGCCGAGCCGTTGTTGTTCTCGCCAGCCAATCGCGCAGCGGCACCTGGCGCGCCGCCTCTCCCTAGAAACGAATTACCTCCTCCTAAGAACGAGTTCCCGGTCCCGGAAACCGATCTTAGCACCGAAGCGGGCTTTTGCGAAGCCGAAACGGGAGGAGAAGACTCGTCGGATTCGGGGATACGGGATAGGAGGACTGCGGGGAGGGACCCGAGCGACCGAGGGTGGTGTTTGGTGACGGACAGCGAGGGAGAGTGGAGATCGACGCGTGGACTTGTGACCCTTGTGAGCCTTGTAATCCGCCGGGGGTTCCTCCCGACGTTTGGCTGCTACCACCACCCAGAAGGCTCTTCTTCTGCACCCTCGGGTCGTGGACCGAAGAGTAGGAAGAGAAGGTGGCGATGTTAAGCCCAGCGGGTTTAGGCTCGGCGGACGACGGCGCGCTTCCCGCCGTGCTTCCCGGCGCGCTTCCCGCCGCCATGGATGGAAAGTTCGAAAAGCTGATTGGAGGACGACCCTTGGGAGGAGTCCCCATGGCGGGCCGGTGCGACTCTAGAGTCTGCCGGTTCGGGTCTAGAGACTGCCGGTGCGAGTCTAGAGACTGCCGGTTCGGCCTGCCTAAGAAATTGCTTCGTTCGTAATTGTAATCTTCGGTCGGAAAGAGCTGCGGCGTGCACACGGCCATTTGACAAAGTTCGAGACACGGCTATAACGGGGATAATTCGTAGAGCGCAGAAAAGCGTTTTAAACTTTGATACAATGGGTGAGAGATCCTGGTCGTCGCACTAATCGAGCTATCGATCGCTTGGAATGGTTCGACGTTATCCTAGAAAGAGAGTGTGCAAGAAAGACGAAAGACCGCTTCCGATGTACTAAGGTTGGCGGTGTAAATATGTGATGTGACACCTCACACCTACAGCAGCTGAGGCAGAAAAAGAGGGCGTTTCGTTAGTTGGATTGGAATGGAAAGCAGAACGAAATAGACCAGCCCTCGAGGGATCACGTGAAACAAGAAGGCAAGGCAAGGCACCCAACAAGAACCAAATCTCTCAAAGAACGATGGGTCGAAAAATGGCGAACAAGAAGGGAGACCACATCCAACCAAAGATGGACTCCACTCCACTCCAGCCGCACAAAGCCTCCTGCCTTCTCTCCACCCCAGCCGCAGAATGGTTCTAGCCGCATAAATACGGGCGAGCTGTCATAATGATGGAGCACCACGAGTAGGTAGGGATGTGAGTTGTGCTTAAATTGAATGCGGTACAGTAGATTACAGTGGATTATACTACAGTACAATACAGTAAAGGTAACGAATCGCGTGTCGTGCTCCAGCAGTTCTGTAGGGGTGGTAAGCTACAGTGCTGTAGTCGGAACCATAGTGCCGTAGCAGTGGCTAACGGCGCGCTTTGATCCGTGATGCCTGGCTTTCCTTGTTCCCAGACAGCCCCACAGTCAGGTCAGGGGACTGCTCTATTGGGCACGACTTCTCCGAACGAGATCAGCGACTCTGGTAACCGATTGCGCGCACTAATCCCGAAAGTGTGGAAAGGGGGTTTGATGGCGCAAGTTCGTCGTCGCTCGGCTGCGACAAGGTTCTGCGACATTCATCGACGTCCCACCGCCACGAGGGACCAGGTCATCATCACCTGGGCTCCTCTTCTCCCATCACCTCCTCACACCACCTGTCTTGTAAACAGCCACGCAAGAACCATCCGTAAGCCCCGAGCCCTCGATTTCCCAAATCCGACGACTGTCCCTTCGAAGCAAACCATGTTTATCCAACTGACATGCCCGATCAAGCCAGTAGCCAATTAGATCAGAGCAAAAGAATGTGATGGGCACTGTTTTATCAAAACAAATCTCTATCTTGTGTTTCCTGGCGTTCAGCTTCCTTCGCGCTTGTATATAAATTAAACCTGACGTGGCAATGCCACGCCGCTGCTGAAGCCCGACGCGTGGTCACTGGGTGGAGTGGGGACAACTTGTCTCCAAGCATGGGGCTGACTTGCAAAAGCAGTTTCATGTTGCAGCAGTTGGTGAGGGAGGGCTTCGGGCAGATTGAATCCTATGTACACCCAGCCCGCGGTAATTTCACACCTTGAAACTGAGCGGATAAATAATTTTTTATTTCCACCCTGACCATCTCTGAGTGCTTAGACAGTACCCCCTTGTCCCCACGGCCTAAGCTTGGAAGACTCCACGCGGGCAAAAACTTTTAGCACTGCCTAAGCTGACGTCAGGTTTCCTGACTCGAGAAACATTAAATCGAGCAGTAAACTTTTCGTATAGAAAGTTCAAATTTTGTTTCAAGAGTATCCAGATCTGGTCTTCAGGAGCTGCTTTCGGGGGGTGAATACCCTCTCGGCGGTACCCCCTGTGAATATACTGGGTGTAAAAAGTCCGCGGTCTAGGTGTATACTGGCTTGACCCTAAACCCGACGCTCTGTACAACAGGGGGATGAGCAACATTTTCACTGTAGAGCCTGCGGAAAAGAAAGAAAAAAAAAAGGAAAAAAAAAAAAGCACTGCCAGCACAGAGAACTTTACCAGGGCTTATGTTTTACGGGCAGCTACCCGAATTTCGACAAATAACTGGTGAGTTTTCGACCAAAATCGAATTGCGACGTGTGTGATTTACATAAACCCGGACACTGACGGGTACATCTTGACCAGAACACGTGAAGGAACGGGATAGGTTTTGAAAAACACGGATCCTATAACTTCTCACACCACCCCACCGACCCCCAGCCATTCCCCCTTCCCCTCCCCAGGACAAATCAGCCCTAACAAGGAAGTTCCAGAGGTGGAAGTACAAGAGCTGAGCGGAGTACTCTTACGTGGTCCCTTACTAGAATCCATGAACTTTTCGTAAGAGCTTTTGTTATCACGGAAAAAATCCCGGGGATGAACCCAGACTTTGACGGGTATCATTTCTAAACAAACCTCGTTTAATTCGGGTTCCTCGATAGAGATATCTGGATCTGCCATGTGGACGAAAAGCCTAAGGAAAACTCTGCACTGTACGCGCACAGCCAGGAAAACGCGGGAACTTTCTGTGGTCTACGAAATGCGTATCCTGGATCCGTCAGTTATATCTTGTGGCTGTAATGACGCCTTATCCATGATGACCTCACATCAAGGGGAGTTCGAAGGGAGAAGATCTTTTGGTTTGCGTGGCCTGAGTGGAAGGCCTTCACAGCAACAGCGTCGCTGACGTACTCAAGCCAGCCTTGCATTGCATCCTTCACACTGACGTGGCCGAAGGGTGCGTTCACTAAGATCTGTGCTCAACGTACACTTCGTAATACACAATGAAGCGATGTAAATTCCCAAATTATTTTCTCCTAGTTTGAGCCAACTTACATCACCTCCCCATTTGCATGTTGATATGCAATGCCAACTCACACAGGGTTTAGATGGATTCGCAAGGTACCAGCCAGCACAAACCGATGCAAACGCCTGACTGCATCACGCTAAAACGACTCCAATAAAGGCAAGCGCACTATGTTGCATCAATCCATTCTCCCCTCCACAAGCCGCTAGCAGCGTTTTCTGCCTCATTTGAAGTACCTCAAAACGCTCACTCTGCGTGTCTAGCAGTCTCCACCACCAAATGAAACAGGTCAAGGGACTCCAGAATTTGAAGTGTTTTTCTGGTGGGCTCTATCTCCAGCTCCCTCATATCCACCAGTACCCTGCGAACGTCCGAAACCAGCCGCTTCCAGGAAGGATCCTCTTCCCTCTCCGACAATCCGCCCTCCTCCCCAGCACCCCTTTGCTTTTTCTCCTTCTCCCACCGATTCACAATAGTCACAATGAGGTCGCGGAACAGCCGCGGGTCGATCATTCTATAAAGGGTACGGGAGAGGCCGATTAGCTCCTTCACTCGGACCACGTCGCCACTCTCCCGGGCTGGAAGGAGGACTTCAAGAATGGCGGAGAAAGGAAGCTTCTGATGCATCCTGTCGACGCCTATGGCTGCTGCCTCACGGAGCACCCTCATCGCACTCTCCTCGTCGCCTGGATGGAGTGAGAAGGGCAGGAAATAGGCAGGGAAGGTGCAGGGAATGAGAAGGGAATGGGCAGGGAATGAGAAGGGAATGGGCAGGGAATGAGAAGGGAATGGGAAGGGAATGAGAAGGGAATGGGCAGGGTACGGGAGAGGCCGATTAGCTCCTTCACTCGGACCACGTCGCCAATCTCCCGGGCCGGCAGGAGAGGACTTCAAGAATGGCGGAGAAAGGAAGCTTCTGGTACATCCTGTCTACGCCTATGGCTGCTGCCTCATGCAACACCCTCATGGCACTCTCCTCGTGGTCTGCATGGAGTACAAAAACAAGGGGAGAATGAGTGAGAATGGTTGAGTATGGTGGAAAAAGGGAGCTTCTGGTGCATCCTGTCCACGCCTATGGCTGCTGCCTCATGCAACACCCTCATGGCTCTCTCCTCGTCGCCTGCAGTCAGTCCGCGCACCAGGCACACCCATCTGCAGAAACACAAGCTCAAGGGGGAGAAATAAAAGCTTCTGGTGCGTTCTATCAGCATGGGTGGATATACGGTGGCACAAGGGTGGATATACGGCGGCACAAGGGTGGATATACGTCTCGGAGTCCCTCTGCTTGCCCCACTACTCCATCGACTGCAGCACTGCAGGGATCTTGTCCACCTTAACGGCACTCCCCAATGTGCCACAAGGACCCACTGTTCACACACTCACCAGCTGCCAGATAGGCATGAGTGAGTTTGATAAACGTCTTTGAGTCCCTGGGCCCGCCCCACTGCCGCATCGACAGTGGCACAGCAGGGACCCTGTCCACCTTACCGGCACCACCCAATGTGGCACAAGGACCCACTGCTCACACACTCACCAGCTGCCAGGTACGCCTGAATGAGGTGGATATAGGTCTTGGAGTCCCTCTGCATGCCCCACTGCTCCATGGACTTCAGCACTGCGGGGATCCTGTCTGTCCTACCCGCCCTTCCCATTCCCAGTGCAGGTGGATGTGAGTCTTACCAGCTGCCAGGTACGCCTGAATGAGGTGGATATACGTCTTGGAGTCCCTCTGCATGCCCCACTGCTCCATGGACTTCAGCACTGCGGGGATCTTGTCCACCTTACCCGCCCGCCCCAGAGTGGCTATGAGCACGTTGAAGGAGGCGGTGGTGGGGGGCATGAGCGCGCACAGCTCGTTGAAGGACTGGCGGAGAGGAGGGGAGGGGGGGGTTGGGGAGAATAGGAGCAGCGGAAGAGGAGTCACTTTGTGAGGACGTTGAAGGAGGCGGTGGGGGGGGGATAAGCGCGCACAGCACGTTGAAGGAGCGTGGTGGGGCATAGGCGCAGCACGTTGAAGGAGCGGTGGTGGGGGCATAAGCGCGCACACACGTTGAAGGAGGCGGTGGTGGGGGGCATAAGTGTGCACAGCACGTTGAAGGAGGCGGTGGTGGGGGGCATAAGCGCGCACAGCACGTTGAAGGAGGCGGTGGTGGGGGGCATGAGGAAATACAGCTCGTTTTAAGGGCTGGCGGGGGGGGGGGGGGGGGGAGGGGGGGGACGTGTGAGGAGGCCAGCACTGCAGGAGGGATCTTGTGGTGGTGGTTTTGAGGCGCCTCAAAACTAGACTCATATCACGGGGAAAGGAGCAGAGGGGGGACGTGTGGGGAGGCCAGCACTGCAGGAGGGATCTTGTGGTGGTGGTGGGGGGCATGAGAGAATACAGCTCGTTGAAGGACTGTGAGGACTAAGGGGGGAAAGTGTTGTGTGACATTGTAACGAGGTGACTTTAGAGTCGACTCAAAAGTCACTTGTGGTGGTGGTGGGGGGCATGACAGAATACAGCTCGGTGAAGGACTGTGTGGACAAAGGGGGGGAGAGGCACAGGGGGAGGGGCACAGGGGGAGGGGAGAAGGAGTGGGGGAAGGTGTAAGGAGGAGGACAGCACTGCAGGAGGGATCTTGAGCGCCCCTCCCTCTGTCCAATACATGAGGCGACTTTTGAGTCGGCTCAAAAGGTGACTTTGAGTCACCTTGTAAGGAGGACAGCACTGCAGGAGGGATCTTGTGCGCCCCTCCCTCTGTCCAATACATGAGGCGACTTTTGAGTCGACTCAAAAGGTGGCTTTGAGTCATCTTGTAAGGAGGACAGCACTGCAGGAGGGATCTTGAGCGCCCCTCCCTCCGCCCAATATGTCCCCCCCCAAAGGGTGCTTCTCCCTACTCTACTATATCCGTTCCTCACCTGCTCTGCCTTCTCCAGGTCCCCTGCTCTACTGTGCACCTCAATGCGAGAGTGATACATGCTTCTCCCTCACCTGCTGCCCCCTCCGCCCCACAAATCCCCTACAACCCCTGCAACCCCTGCAAACGAGATGCCTTCTGAGTCGACTCAAAAACCCTACAAACCCTACAAGCCCTGCAACCCCTGCAAACGAGATGCCTTCTGAGTCGACTCAAAAACCCTACAAACCCTACAAGCCCTGCAACCCCTGCAAACGAGATGCCTTCTGAGTCGACTCAAAAACCCTACAAACCCTACAAGCCCTGCAACCCCTGCAAACGAGATGCCTTCTGAGTCGACTCAAAAACCCTACAAACCCTGCAAACCCTGCAAACGAGATGACTTTTGAGTCGACTCAAAAACCCTGCAAACCCTACAAACCCTACTGCAGCCGCCTCTCACCTGCTCTGCCTTCTCCAAGTCTCCTGCCTGCTCCCTCCTTACCTGCTCCCCCCTTACCTGCTCCCCCCTTACCTGCTTCCCCCCTTAACCGCTCCCCCCTTACCTGCTCCCCCCTTAACCACTCCCCCCTTACCTGCTCCCCCCTTAACCGCTCCCCCCTTACCTGCTCCCCCCTTAACCGCTCCCCCCTTACCGCTCCCCCTTACCGCTCCCCCCTTACCGCTCCCCCCTTACCGCTCCCCCCTTACCCACTCCCCCCTTACCCGCTCCCCCCTTACCCGCTCCCGCCTGCCCTCCCCTCACCTGCTCTGCCTTCTCCAGGTCCCCTGCTCTGTTCTGTTGTGCACCTCAATCCGAGAGTGATACATGCTTCTCCCTCACCTACCCCCTGCGTCCCATACATCCACTGCAAACACTCCAGTTACCTGCTCTGCCTTCTCCCAACCACTCTCCTCTCACCTGCTCTGCTGTGGACCCCGCCTTCTCTCTCCAAACCCACTCAGTTCCCCCTCCTCTGCACTCTCTCCCTCTCCTCTCACCTGCTCTGCCTTCTCCAGGTCCCCTGCCCTACTGTGCACCTCAATCCGAGAGTGATACATGCTCCTGAGAGGTAGAGGAAGAGGAGGGGAGGGGGGGGGAGAGCAGGGAAGGAGTAGAGATCACAAGTCGTCAAAGAAACGGAGGTGGAAGGTAGGACGGGCAAAGAGAGAGGGTGAGAACAAGGGGGACTAGGGAAAGAAGAGAGCTGGTAGGAAAAAGGAAAGGAGCGGAGTGCACAGAAGGAGAGACGAACAACTGACGGGCAGAAAGCAATGGAGGAAGGAAGGGAGGGAGGGAGGGAGGGGGGAAATCACACCCACCTGTCAAGAGGCAGTCCTCTTCCCCACCCTCCCCCCCTCTCTTCCCCGGCAACCCCCGCCCCCAGTCCCCCACACACACATGAAGGGAGAAAACCACACTCACCTGTCGAGAGGCAGTCCAGTCTGGTTAAACTTCTCCCACACCTGAAAGACTTTTGAGGCGCCTCAGAAGGCAGTCCAGTCTGCTTCACCTCCTCCCACACCTGAAGAACCTTTCAACTGTCCCTCCAACAACCCCCCTCCCAAGACCCCCACACACATTAAAGGAGAAAATCACACCCACCTATCGAGAGGCAGTCCAGTCTGCTTCACCTCCTCCTCCTCAACCGCCCCCCCGTTCGCATATCGCCCCACGCAACCCCCTTCCCCCAGCCCCCCACACACGTGACGGAAGGGAAATGAAACTCAGTGACCCACCTGTCCAATGCCATTCCTGTCTGCTTCAACTCCTCCCAAACTTGGAAGAACCTTTCAACCGCCCCTCGGTTCGCATATCGGCCCAATAAAGACCAGTAGGTCTTCCTGTTCGGCCTCTCGCCTTCCTCCTTCATAGCCTCAAGACACAAGTCGGCTTTTTCAAACTGCCCGGCAAGCGCGTATGCACCAATCAGGATGTTGTATGTCACGATCGTGGGCTGCGCCCCGTCTGCCCGCATGCGTGCGAGATATGACTCCATTTTTTCGATCTGCCCGAGCCTGCTGAGACTGGTGAGGATGATGTTATAGGCGACTTCATCAGGCATCAATCCCTGTAGGCAGACGAGGGGGGGAGTTGGGGGGGATTGGGGGGGGTTGGGGGGGATTGGGGGGGGGGTTGGGGGGGATTGGGGGGGGGTTGGGGGGGCCATAAATACACATAAGAGAGTTGTAGTACACACACATATGTCCGAGCCTGCTGAGGCTGGTGAGGATGATGTTATAAGCGACATCATCAGGCATCATTCTCTGTAAGCAGACGTGGGGAAGGGGGAGGGGGAGGGGGGAGGGGGGGGGACATACTGGGGTACACATATAGGTATGCGCCTGCTGAGGCTGGTGAGGATGGTTAGAATGATGTTGTAGGCAACTTCGTCTGGCATCATTTCCTGTGGAGAGGCCTAGGGTGGGGGAGCGGGTGATATATAGGAGTGAACACACAAGTGCCTGGGCCTGCTTAAACACACAAGGTGACTTTTGAGTCGACTCAAAAGCGGGGGATATATAGGAGTGAACACACATGTCCCTGGGTGGGCCTGCTGAGGCTGCTGAGAATGATGATGAAGGCAACTTCGTCAGGCATCATTCCCTTTCCCTGTGGAGTATTTTGAGTCAGTTGACTTGGGTGATTTCAGAAACTTCAATGGATTTTCTGGATCTTACGGTGTTTAAAGGACAAAGGTTTCAAGACTCCGGCGTTCTGGACCTGAAGCTGTTTCAGAAGCCGATGAATCGGTACCTTTACTTGCCGTTTAAGTCTTATCACACTCGGTCTACAAAACTGGGTTTTATCAGGAGTGAGCTACGAAGATTTCTTCTGCGCTCCTCTTCGCGAGCTGACTTCTTGAATTCCCGCGCACTTTTCTTCGCTCGCCTTAGAGCCCGTGGGTACCCGGAAAAGTTTTACTGCCGGTGTTTAAGTCAGTTTCCTTCGCTAACCGTGGGGAATTTCTTCAACGAGCCACTTCCATTCAATCTTCTGCGAACCGTGGCCCCCTGGTGCTGAAGCTTCTTCTCAACCCTCTGGTTGACCTTTCGCGCCTGGGGAACGTTTTGAGTCGACTCAAAAGTCATCTCGTTACAATGTCACACGGAACTTTCGCTTCAAGAAGAACCATTCTCGCTTGGAGGCTGCCGAAGAGAGTTGGGAATTTTTTATTTCCGCTCATAAGTGTTAGAACTGCAGTAGATTTTTACTGTTCGTTTTATCTTTCTTTTCCCTTGCCTCGTCGAGACCCCGCAGAGGATTGCCTCGCGAGGAGTCCTCGAGCTTGGTATTTATAGGTTAGCTAGTTTGCTTTTTTCTTTGTGGTCTGAAGAAGGCTCTCGAGCCGAAACCGGTTACCGTCATTTTTCACAAAGAGTTTTCAAGCAAGCTCTCTACGAACTTTTTACTTAAGCGTTTCTAGTTGCTGCCACGTAAAGGCCTATGGCACCCAAGTGGTGTTCACTCGGAGTATTTCGAGTCAACTCAAAATACTTTGAGTCGACTCAGGAATCATTCCCTTTCCCTGTGGAGTAGCCTGGGGAGAGGAAAGAGGGAACCTGCGAGACTTAGTAGCCAGCTCCTTCATTTCAGCTCCCACCTTTCTCGTTATATTCACCTTCTCGTTATACTCACCTTCTCGTTACACTCGCCTTCTGCTGCATGTTGAAACACACATGCAAGCCAGATATTATCGTTATACTCACCTTTTTCTCACACCCATTATTCGTTAGAATCCTTAACCCCAATCTCACCTTCTCCTTCATCTCTAACAGCATTTGATCAACAACCCCCAGCACTTGTGCCAAGTAAGTGAACCAACACAAATCTGCACCGCACCCACACCTCACCTTCTCTCGGTATACTCACCACCTCCTCCTTCTCCTACTCACACCTTCTCCTTCATCTCTAGCAGTGACTGATCGATAACCTCCAGCACTCGCTCCAACCGCTCCTTACTTTTACCTTCACGCTACACTCACGTCCTCCTTACACTCACTATTCGTTATAATCCTTCTTCTTCCTCTCACCTTCTCCTTCATCTCCAGCAGCGTCTGATCAACAACCTCCAGCACTTGCTCCAACCGCTCCTTCCTAAAACCTTCCTTCCCCTCCCCCGCATCATGCCAATCTGCCTCACTCCCCTCCCCCTCCCCTCCCTCCCCTCCCCCTCCCTCCTCCTCTCCTCCCCTCTCCTCCTCTCCCTCACTGGTTTCCGCCCCGTCCAACGCCCTCCATCCGAATCCTTTCACTGTGATCTCTTCTTGGGTTAGTACCCCCTGCAGTTTAGCCCGGAACGAGGCATTCTCCTCGGTTACCCCTAAATTCCGCAGCCACTCCAGCTCTTCCATTAGCTTGTAAGTGCGCCCGCGCTTAGCAAAGTGATGCAGCACGCCAAAATACACCTGAGTCAGGGGGAAGAAAACCAGGGGCGGGTAATTTTGTCGCAAAAAGAATCATTCCGTCCCATTGCATCTATTCCGGGAAGGGGAACCACGGAAAAAAAAAAGGTTTGAGACAAGACATACTCCTCAATACATTGCCATACCGATCGTTCTACAAGATATGTGACAAATTGGGAGGCAGGAAAACAAACAAACAAAAAATTGCTTCTTCCAGGAACAGGGGAGGAAGGGCCGGTGTTACCGCAAGCGTTTTGATTCTTGTTACAAAAATGCATCTCTCACCTTCTCTGTTTGAAATTCCTTGGGAAACGACAGGAACATGGCTCGCACTGTCTCGACAGCGTTGCAGCGCGCCGCACAGGAGAGGGCGATTTGGTAGTCGAGGGAGATGAGGGGGAACCTCGATGAGGTGATCAGCCAATCGGAGAGCTGTGAGGTGTGGGGGAAGGACAGGTAGTGAGTAGGACGGGAGTTACAGGAGAGGGCGAGTTGGTATTCCAGGGGAGTGAGGGGGAGCCGGGAGGATGTGATAAGCCAATCGGAGAGCTGCAGGGTGTGGGGCGGAGATTAGGGGGGGAGTGGTGGGAGGGGGAGTGCGGTGGGAGGGGGAGCAACAGGAGAGAGCGAGTTGATAGTCAAGGGGGGTGGGGGGGGAACCTCGAGGGGGTGATAGGCCAATCACAGGGCTACAGGAGTGGGAAGCAGGGCGAGCGGGTGTCTGGAGCAGTGGAACCTTCCACTTAACAAATCATAATTGTTCCACTGAATCAGCTTTAGTGAAAAATTAGTAACCCTACCTAACCAACGCAATGAGCTTCCATGATGAGTTCCCCTTAGAAACTACCTAACCAACGCAATGAGCTTCCATAATGAGTTCCCCTTAGAAACTACCTAACCAACGCAATGAGCTTCCATAATGAGTTCCCCTTAGAAACTACCTAACCAACGCAATGAGCTTCCATAATGAGCTCCCCTTAGAAACTACCTAACCAACGTAATGAGCTTCCATAATGAGTTCCCCTTAGAAACTACCTAACCAACGCAATGAGCTTCCATAATGAGTTCCCCTTAGAAACTACCTAACCAGCGCAATGAGCTTCCATAATGAGTTCCCCTTAGAAACTACCTAACCAACGTAATGAGCTTCCATAATGAGTTCCCCTTAGAAACTACCTAACCAACGCAATGAGCTTCCATAATGAGTTCCCCTTAGAAACTACCTAACCAGCGCAATGAGCTTCCATAATGAGTTCCCCTTAGAAACTACCTAACCAACGCAATGAGCTTCCATAATGAGTTCCCCTTAGAAACTACCTAACCAACGAAATGAGCTTCCATAATGAGTTCCCCTTAGAAACTACCTAACCATACCAACGTTTCGGTTACGAACAAAATAAAACCTTTCAGCCCATTGGAACCTACCTCTCTGCCTCACCTCTCCACTAACCCCTCTCTCTGCCTAACCCTCACATGTGTGAGTGCTCTAGAACAGGGGTAACTCACCTCTGCTGCTTTCCTTCTGAGTAGGTTTTTTAGTCGACTCAAAAGTCCCCTCGATTTTGAGTCGACTCAAGAGTCACTTCGTTTTTTAGTCGACTCAAAACTAACCCCTCCCTCTGCCTAACCCTCACATGTGTAGGTGCTCTAGAACAGGGGTAACTCACCTCTGCTGCTTTCCTTCTGAGTACGTGGGAGTTGCAGCCGTTGACTTTTCAGTCGACTCAAAAGACAGGGGGTACTCACCTCTGCTGCTTTTCTTCTGTGTACGTGGGAGTTGCAGCGGCTGATGGCCTGCGGTTTGAAAGAGAAGAGAGGGAAGTGGGAAAAGGGAGGCGTGAAGTAAATATCCGACTGAGAAGGCACGTGGGCGTTGCCGCGGTTGACGGATGCCCTGCCTGCGGCAAGGGGAAATGCGGAAGAGAAACAAGGATAGGGGCAGTAAAATGAGGACATAAGAATCACGGTCAAAATCCTTATTTCGCATGGGCATTGCCATCACGAGAAGATTTTAGAGGCGCCTAACAAATAAGAATCACGAGATCATGGCAGGGGCGTTGCCACAGACATCGCACGCCCACATACATTCCCAAGCAACCCCCCCCTCCGCTCCCTTCCTTCCTCCCCGTCACTCACCCACAGCAGAAGCTCCTTATCCAGCGCCCCTCCGGCCATCTGCCACGCCTTAAAGGCCGGCATGACAGGAGCGTTGCCCCGCAGCCGATTCAAAACGCCCCACAGCTGCCCCTTGCGGGCTGGATGGAAGGACGGGGTTCAGGGTTTTAAGGATGAACAGGGAGGGGAGGAGAGGAGAGGGCAGGAAGGGGAGGGGGCAGTTAGGGAGGGGGGGAGGGGGAGTGGGCACTGGAAGGCCAGCACGACAGGAGCGTTGCCCCGCAGCCGATTCGAAACGCCCCACAGCTGCCCCTTGCGGGCTGAATTGACGGGGTTCAGGGTTGAAGGATGAACAGGGAGGGGAGGAGAGGAGAGGGCAGGAAGGAGGGGGGGCAGTTAGGGAGGGGGGGAGGGGGAGTGGGCACTGGAAGGCCAGCACGACAGGAGCGTTGCCCCGCAGCCGATTCGAAACGCCCCACAGCTGCCCCTTGCGGGCTGAATTGACGGGGTTCAGGGTTGAAGGATGAACAGGGAGGGGAGGAGAGGAGAGGGCAGGAAGGGGGGGGGGCAGTTAGGGAGGGGGGGAGGGGGAGTGGGCACTGGAAGGCCGGCATGACAGGAGCGTTGCCCCGCAACCGATTCGAAACGCCCCACAGCTGCCCCTTGCAGGCTGAAGGAGGTTTGGGGTTTAAGGTTGATCGGATAGGGGAGGAGGGGAGAGGGGCAGGAGGGGGGAGGGGGGAGTTAGGGAGGGGGGAGTTAGGGAGGGGGGAGTTAGGGAGGGGGGAGTTAGGGAGTGGGGAGTTAGGGAGGGGGGAGTTAGGGAGGGGGGAGATAGGGAGGGGGGAGTTAGGGAGGGGGGAGTTAGGGAGGGGGGAGTTAGGGAGTGGGGAGTTAGGGAGGAAGGAGTTAGGGAGGGGGGAGTTAGGGAGGGGGGAGTTAGGGAGGGGGGCGGAGGAGTGCAGTCTGAACGGGAAGCATGAGAGGAACGTTGGCCCACAGCCCACTCAGCACGCCCCACAGCTGCCCCTTGCAGGCTGAAGGGGGTTTTGGGGGTTAAGGTTGAACAGAGAGGGGGGGCAGACGGGGGGAGGAGTTAGGAAAGGGTGCGGGAGTGGGATTTGAAAGGGAGACATGACAGGAACCTTGGCTCGCAGCCCGCTCAACACGCCCCACAGCCGCCCCTTGCGGGCTGGAAAGGGAAGAAAGGAGACGGTGGAGAGGGGGGGGGGGGGGGGGGGATGTGGAGAGAAGGGGGAAGAATGGGTTGGTTGAAGGTGTCAGGTTGTAAGGCTAGCCTGGCTTTCCCAATCATCTCGTCTGCCTTCTTCCTTTATCCTCTCACTCGATCTTCTAGCCCTTCACTCTACCTCTCACCCTCTCCTATCCTTCCTCTCTACCTCTCACCCTCTCACTGCACCTGCCGTCTCTGCTGTCGCTTGTTTTCCTCGCTCCTCTCGCTGCCTCAATGTATTCTTCTCCCTCACTTCCTCAATCCCTCTTCTTCCTCTTCCTCTCTCACATGCTCACTGCACGTACGGTCTCTGCTGTCACCGGTTTGCCTCGCTCCTCGCTGCCTCGGACCTCTCCTCCCAGCCTGAAAGCCCGGACCTCCATCACTGGTTCGGCGCTCCCCATTGCTGCTGCTAAAGCGGTTCCCTCTGATGCTGCCGCTGCTGCTGTTGTTGCTGCTGGTGGTAGCGGTGGCGGTGCTGCTGCTGATGTTACTGCTGCTGCTGCTGCTGCTGCCGGCTCCACTGCTTTCCGTGGCTACTGAATCGCGCTCTCTGCTGCTGCTTGTGTCCTCCTCTTTCCCTTCTCCCCTCTCTTCCGAACCAGCAACAGCAGGCTCGGCAGGGAGCCCCGAACCAGGAGCAGCAGGCTCGGCAGCGGAATCCGAGGCGGATTCAGAGGCTTGGGAAGCGAGGGGAGGGACGGAGGAGAGGAACCGGGAGGACAGGCTCGAAATGGGAGCTACGTGTGACTGTAACGAACGGTAAAGGTGTGCTGCAGCAGAAGCTGTGCTGCCAAAAGTACTGTAGACGTTGTGACTGTAGACATGGCTGCTGTAGACGTGGTTACCACCAATCAGCGTTGCGGTTGAGAGGAGGGGAGTTGACGTCAGAGCGAAGGGAGCAGGAGCAGGAGCAGGAGCAGTGGCTGCTGCAGTATGCCTTCTAACCCAGGGTGACAGTGCCGAATGTGACAATAACGGATCGGACTCTGAGGGCTGGTTTGCAGCAGTGGGAGCAGCAGGAGGGGCAGTGGCAGGGTCAGAGGGTGCTGACAGAATGGGCCTGAGGAAGCAACAAAAGGGAATCGAAGAAAAAGCAGGTAATTTTTTAGAATTCTAAAAAATATCGAAGAAAAAGGGAAGAGAAAACAAGCGGGATGGAAGAAAAGGGAAGAAGGCAACGGTGTCAACGATCTGCCACGGCTGCATTCGCGTTCTCGGAGGCATTTCCCGATCTGGGTTTAGGATCGGACGGTCACATAAACGCAGTGGAGGAACAGATTTTTGAGTTGACTCGAAAGTCATCTATAGCTGCATTCTGGGTTTAGGATCGGACGGACGTAAACGCAGGGGAGGGGAATGACCCAGCGGATTGTCCGCAAGGTCCTGATTAGAGAAGAGTGAGGGGAGGGGAGGGGAGGGGAGGGGAGGAGAGAGGAGAGAGGAGAGAGGAGAGAGGAGAGAGGAGAGAGGAGAGAGGAGAGAGGAGAGAGGAGATTGGAGAGAGGAGAGAGGAGAGAGGAGCGACAAGTGACGAGTTGTCCGCAGGGGACGGATGAGGGAGCAATCAGAGGGACGGATCCCGCGCGCTGCGTCGCTTGCAGCAGCAGTTCCGTCGCCTGGAAGGCCGTCGCGTGACACCACGGGAACGATCAGTGTGCATTCGTCGCCTTTTACCCACCTAGCCAAACGAGACTGACCTGAGCGCCACGGAGGTCACGGATCCCACTCGCGCTGCCTCGCGTGCAGCCTCGCGTGCAGCAGCAGTGCTGGCTCGAGAAGCAGAGAGCGGGAGGATAAACCCAAGCGAACGCGACTGACCTTCATGCACTTGATCCTTAGTGGCTGGGACTGTCCCCAGTGCGACAGACGGCACGGATCCCTCGCGTGCAGCCTCGCGTACAGCCTCGCGTGCAGCAGCAGTGCTGGCTCGAGAAGCAGAGAGCGGGAGGATAGACCCAAGCGAACCAGACTCGCCTAAGCGCAACGGACGGTACGGATCCCGCTCGCTTTGCACGCAGCAGCAGTGCAGACTGACGGGACAATAGCGGGAGGACGGATCCGAGTCAGCTGGCTGACCTGAGCGCGACTGACGGCGCGGATCCCGCGCGCTGTCTCGCGTGCAGCAGCATCCTTTTCACCTTGAAGGCCCTCGCGTGACACTAGGAGACGGATCCGTGTGCATTCGTCGCCTTGTACAACACCAGACTAACCTGAGCGCGACTGACGGCACGGATCCCGCGCGCTGCCTCGCGTGCAGCAGCAGTCTCATCGCCATGGCGAGTTGCTTTCGATACGCTGCGTCAGATCCAGGCGGTTACGGTGGAAACTCGGCGATTGGAATGGCGTCGCTCGGCGATCGGGTTGATCGCGACGCTTCAGTGCGATGTCGCACTGCGACGAGGAGCAGGAACCGAAGGACGGAATGGACTTCGCTGCGACGACACGACGAAGTGAGGCGATTCCGTCCGACAGCCCTACGGAAACGAGCACGGCCCAGGGCTTGTTACGATTGTCCGAGCAGAGAGAATGGAGAGACTTGTTTCTTTGATCATCAGCTTGGTCGGACAATAGACTCTTTTGCAGGCTGACGCGCTGCTTGTATTGGAGAAGAGCAAATGAGCAAAATGCACTATTCAGTCAACCCAACAAAGAAGACGACAAACCCAACAAATTGCAACAAAACCGTGCTCAGCAGGATTCGAACCTGCGCGGGCAGAGCCCAACAGATTTCTAGTCTGTCCCGATAACCACTCCGGCATGAGCACATGTTCATCCTATTGACAAAATATTTTTGATTCCTTTTCAATCTTTTGCTAAAGCACCATCACCCTTGCACTTCTCACTACCTGGTCACTCAAGCAGCCATGGCAGCAGTAATGGCCGCCGCAGGTAGTCTAGCGCGTCTGTCGGTACGGCCAATCGACACTGCCTCTTTCAAGAGCGCATCCCGCTCTGATAGCATAAGCCTTGCTGCCTCGTTCCGCCTACCGATTCGCTGCCTAAAAGGTAGCTGCCAAGAACCAATTGCGCGTTCGCAACTCGAAAGCCGATCTTCAAAAGCATCTGCTGCTTCAAAGCCGTCGACTTTCCTAGCAGCAGAAGCCTCGCAACGCGCCGTCCTTCCGCAGGTCGCGGCAGCAGAAGCCGAATCCTCCAACTTCTTCCTCTCTGTACTAGCACTCTCCCTCGGCACGTCCGTTTTAATCACATTCGCTGGCGCTGGTCCCGCGGAAGCCGCCGATGCAGCCGCCGCGACCGTCGCCACCGCCGGCGGAAGCGGAGCCGATTTACACTCTTCGCTCCTCTCAGCCGCGTCTCTTGACCTGCATTCTTCATTAGGGTCATCGGCGACCCTCGGTTTTATCCCCACTGGTCCGCTTATGAGCGAGTTCTGGGACAATGTCGGCCGATTCGTGATTTATTTTTTCACGGTTTTTACGGGCGGGCTTTACACACTGGTTAAGCCGATTGTGGATCTTTTAAAGAAGCCGACCACCGCGATTCTGGTGGTGCTGGTGCTGGGAGGAGGGTTTTACGTGACCTATCTGACTTTGTCTGCGATGCTGGGACTGGACAGCTCAGATGTTCCGCTTGACGGCTACTGAAGGGTCTCTGTTGAGAAGGCATGGAGGGGTAGAATGAAAGGGAGAAGGCTGTCGTGATGGTTGGCTGTCGTGATGGTTGATGGTTTTAGAATTCTGGTGTGTTGTGTATCCAAGAGTATAGATTGCCTCTGCAACGCCCTTGTGGCCCAGATTTTTGTTGGTCATTTCAACTTCACTGTTTTCTTCAGCGTTGTTTTTGGTCCTGTCCTGAGCCAGTATGTTTTCGCTTGTGGGTGAATGAGAGGTGGGTGGTAGTAGCCTGTCAAACATAACTTATGCAGTTACTGTAGACTATACATGCTTGTGCCTTAGAGGATACAGCTCACTAGTCTATATTGTCTTGTATCTCTCATTTCTAGTTTATTATTACATTCTGATATGGTATCATCGTAGGTTAGGTCCTCTTCCTAGCCCGCACACGCTTCCGCCCCTAGGCCCTAGCCCCCGTACGTTCTCGCCCCTAGCTGGCTCCCCTGGTCGTCGCGCTCGCTTCTAGCCGGCCCCCTGACTGTCGCGTCTGTCCCTAGCTGGCCCCCTGACCGTCGTGCCCGCTCCTAGCCGGCCACCTGGCCGTACGCGCCCGTCCCTAGCTGACCCCTGACCGTTTGCGCCCACCCCTAGCTGGCCTCCTGGCTGTCACGCTCACTTCTAGCCGGCCCCCTAGCCGTCGCGCCCGTCTCTAGCTGGCCCCCTGGCCGTCGCGCCCGCTCCTAGCCGGCCCCCTGACCGTCGCGATCGCTCCTAACCGCCCCCCTCACCGTCGCGCTCGCCCCTAGCCGGCCCCCTGGCCGTTCGCGCCCGTCCCTAGCTGACCCCTGACCGTTCGCGCCCGCCCCTAACTGGCCCCCTGGTTGCCGCGCTCGCACCTAGCCGACCCCCTAGCCGTCGCGCCCGTCTCTAGCAGGCCCCCTGGCCGTCGCGCCCACTCCTAGCCGGCCCCCTGACCGTCGCGATCGCTCCTAGCCGGCCCCCTGACCGTCGCGCTCGCCCCTAGCCGGCCCCCTGGCCATTCGCGCCCGTCCCTAGCCGACCCCTGACCGTTCGCGTCCGCCCCTAACTGGCCCCCTGGTTGTCGCGCTCGCACCTAGCCGACCCCCTAGCCGTCGCGCCCGTCTCTAGCTGGCCCCCTGGCCGTCGCGCCCACTCCTAGCCGGCCCCCTGACCGTCGCGATTATCAAACTGAGAGAAGTGAATGATCAGGTAGAGGGAGAGTACAGATAGATATACCTAAGTATTGTACCCTCTAAGAGATGCCCCTATGCAGTCTATGCAAACATAACAAATACACATGTTTGACACACCCCCTAGACTGCATAGGGGAAAGTTCTAAACAAGCAGCTCAGGGCGGCACTACTAGTCCAACCTCTGAGACAAGGGTCTAAGAGACCAGTCAGAAGGAGTACAGACAAGGCGAGAACAAGACCAGGGCGATACTACTAGTCCAGCCACTGGGAGAGGACACAAGTCCAGTTTGAGTATACATATAAAGGACAGTACAAAGTCAAGGCCCTAGCAAGTGAGAGGCTACAGGAACTAGACCAAGCTGTACACAGTGCCGCTGATGATCTTTAGGCGCAAGCGCCTTCGTAAAGATATCAGCTGTGTTGGCACATGAGGCCAAGTGTACTACGCGAGCCTGACGTCGCTGCTGTAGCTCACGCAGGAGGAAGTACCGCAGCTGGATGTGCTTCGCCCTGCCCTCGAGTCGAGGCTCCTGACACAGGAGGATCATGGCCCTGTTGTCAGCGAATAGGACCGGGGCAGAGCTAGGCCGCTCACCTAAGTCAGTGAGCAAGAAGGTCAGCCACCGGAGCTCCTATACCGCCATGGCACCAGCGTAGATCTCAGCCTCACAGCTGGACTAGGCAACAGACGAGGAGCGGGTAGCTCTCCACGAGACGGCACCTGAGCCAAGGCTGAAGCAGTAGCCCTGGGTAGACCTGAGTGTCTCGGCGTCGTCTGCCCACGAAGCGTCTGTGTGTCCAGTAAGGACCACTGGCCTGCAACCTCCTAGCACTAACCCCATGCCCGATGTACTAGCAAGATAACGCAAAACCCTCTTAGCGGCAGACCAGTGCTGCGGCCGGTGTCTGCCTGTGGCCACAAAGCGAGCCAGGATGCTGAGAGGGTATGCGAGATCTGGGCGAGTGCAAGTCATCAGGTACATGAGGCAACCCACCAGCTCTGCGTAGGGGCCGCTGGGCTCTACCGACTCCTCAGACACTGGAGCGGAGAGTCTGTCGTCTACAAGCAGAGGGGTGGGCTGTGCAGAGGAGAACTGGAGGCTGAACCTCTGAAGGACCTGGCGCACCAAGTGTGACTGAGTCAGGGTGATGGTGCACGATGCTCTGTCCCTGGAGATCTGCAAGCCAAGGTAGCGGCGCAGTTCTCCAAGGTCAGTGCAGGTGTGTCTCTTCAGCAGCTCTGCCTTCACGGAGGCCAGTGCGTCCCTGTCTGCTGTGGCAAAGACCAGGTCGTCGACGTAAACAAGGATGTAGAACGGAGTCTGGCCAGCACGAACGAAGAGTGAGGGGTCTGCGGAAGCCGGAAAGAACTGCAGGTCAGCAAGCGTAGCACGGAGAGTGTCGTGCCACTCACGGGGAGCCTGGCGCAGGCCGTAGACAGGGCGCCGCAGGAGCCACTGGGTCCCAGGAGGGAAGGTGCCAGTAAAGTCCTGAGGGCGACGCAATAGACCTGCTCGTGTAGGCTGCCCTGAAGGAAGGCAGTGGAGAAGTCGAGGGAGTGAAGCTCGTAGTCACGCTGAGCAGCTAGGTGTAACAGAACCCGAAGAGTAGTCATCTTCGGGGTCGGAGCGAAAGTCTGGAAGAAGTCCACCCCCTCGCGCTGACTGAAGCCTCTAGCCACATAGCGCGCCTTGAAGACAGGCGGCTCTCCAGGGGGCCGCTTCACCTTGAAGAGCCAGCGGCCATCGACTACGTTCACCCCAGGCGGGGGAACTGCGTCGACGAAGGTGCCGGTGGATCTCCAAGATGCCATCTCCTGCTCCATGGCAGTTATCCACTGAGAGGCCCAGGGTCCCGAAGTCGCCTTAGCGTAAGTGCGAGGGGTCGGAATGTCGAAAGCGTTTGGGTCACCCTCAGGGACTAGCAGCATGGAACAGAGATGGGGAGCAGCCTCGGACAGGAAAGCAAGCTCGAACTGGCGGTCCTCCAGGACGTCACTGCCAAGGGCAGGAGCACCCCCGACAGACGGAGGACAGGCAGGGTCAGAGACCAGAGCGGTGGCGACGGGGCCGGGCGGGCGCGACGAGGCCGGGCAGGCGCGACAGGGCCGGGCGGGCGCGACGGGGCCGGGCAGGTGCGACGGGGCCGGGCCGGTGCGACGGGGCCGGGCAGGTGCGACGGGGCCGGGGGCGGGTGCGACGGGGCCGGGCGGGCGCGATGGGGCCGGGCAAGTGCGACGGGGCCGGGCAGGTGCGACGGGGCCGGGCAGGGCGCGACGGGGCCGGGCAGGGCACGACGGGGCCTGAAGGCTGGACGGGGCCCAGGAGGGGCGTGACGCGGCCCTGGAGGGGCACTACGGGGCCCAGGAGGGGCCGAGGCGGGGCGCGACGGGGCCCAGGAGGGGCGCTACGGGGCCCAGGAGGGGCACTACGGGGCCCATGAGGGGCACTACGGGGCCCAGGAGGGGCCCAGGAGGGGCGCGACGGGGCCCAGGAGGGGCACTACGGAGCCCAGGAGGGGCCCAGGAGGGGCGCGACGGGGCCCAGGAGGGGCGCTACGGGGCCCAGGAGGGGCGTGACGCGGCCCTGGAGGGGCACTAAGGGGCCCAGGAGGGGCCGAGGCGGGGTGCGACGGGGCCCAGGAGGGGCGCTACGGGGCCCAGGAGGGGCGCTACGTGGCCCAGGAGGGGCACTACGGGGCCCAGGAGGGGCGCGACGGGGCCCAGGAGGGGCACTACGGAGCCCAGGAGGGGCGCGACGGGGCCCAGGGGGTCGCGACGGGGCTAGGGGGGAGGCACGGCGGGGCCTAGCTAGGGGACGAGTGGAAGCGGTAGATGGGGGGATCCTAACCTACGCTCTGATACCATATCAAATTGAGAGAAGTGAATGATCAGGTAGAGGGAGAGTACAGATAGATATACCTAAGTATTGTACCCTCTAAGAGATGACCCTATACAGTCTATGCAAACATAACAAATACACATGTTTGACAGCGATCGCTCCTAACCGCCCCCCTGCCCGTCGCGCTCGCCCCTAGCTGGCCCCCTGACCGTTCGCGCCCGTCCCTAGCCGGCCCCCTGGCCGTCGAGCCACCCCTAGCCGGCGCCCTGGCCGTTTCGCGCCTGCTCTTCGCAGGCCCCCTGGCCGTTTGAGCCCGCCCCTAGCCATCGCGGCTGCTTCTAGCTGCCGTCGCGGCCGCTTCCCGCCGTCCCTCGGCCGCCCCTAGTCGTCCCGGCCGCCCCTCACCGTCACGGCCGCCCTTGCCGCCGCCGCTGCTGACTCGAGCTGCCTCACGGTCGCTCCTGCCATCGCGGCCACCCCTAGCCGCCGTCGCGGCTGTCCCTGGCCGCCGTCGCGGCTGTCCCTGGCCGCCGTCGCGGCTGTCCCTGGCCGCCGTCGCGGCTGTCCCTGGCCGCCGTCGCGGCTGTCCCTGGCCGCCGTCGCAGCCGTGTCTACTTGCCGCCCACCGGCCGGCCCCTGCATTCGCGCCGTCGCCGGCCCGCCGCTGCCTCGGGTTCGGCCCGTTCTTCCTGATCAGCACCGCCCTCCGAAACCCCCCCCCCGGTACCGTACTGCATCGCTTTGCACCGCACTGCACCGCTTTGTACCGCACTGAACCGCTTTGCACCGCACAGCACCGCGCTGCACCGCACTGTACCGCACTTTACCGCATTGCACCGCACTGTCCTACTCTACACTGCCCTCTATTGTCACTGATGGCGGCGGTGCTTTGCTTTGATGCTGAGGGCCAGCCGATTGAGTTTGATGCGTGGCTTGGTGACCTCCGTCGCCATCTCACTAGTCAGCGGCAGGATGGCCACTCGCCGTCTGTCCATCTTGATGGTACCCTCCCCTGCCCTGACCCCCCCGCTGCACTGTCTCCTGACCCCTCGTCCGCTGAGCGTGAGTCCGCTGCAGCCGCTGCCTTTGCTCGCTCTGTCTGGCTGTCCCGTGACGCGGTTGCACAGCTTGCTATTAGCAATGCCCTCCCCCTGTCCGAGCGACCTCGCTTCAGGTCTATCACCACTGCCCAGGCCTTCCTAAATGCTGTTGTCCAGCGCTATTCCACCCCGCCTGCTGCCTCGGT